GGCCGCCGTCTCCCCGTCCCGCGGCGGCTGCGCCCCGGTGCCCAGTCCGCTGGCGCCGCTGCCCGACTACATGTCTGAGGAGAAGCTGCAGGAGAAAGGTGGGTAGGGCCGGTCCCTGCACCCCCATCCTCCCGAGCGGGTCCGGGCCTGACGGTGCCGCCTCTCTGTCCCTGCAGCCCGCAAGTGGCAGCAGCTGCAGGCCAAGCGCTATGCGGAGAAGAGGAAATTCGGCTTCGTGGACGCGCAGAAGGAGGACATGCCCCCCGAGCACGTCCGGAAGATCATCCGCGACCACGGCGACATGACCAACAGGAAGTTCCGTCACGACAAGCGCGTCTACCTGGGGTAAGGGCCCCCCCCCCGCTATGCGACACGGGGGGAGCCGAGCTGAGTCCTCCTCTGCTGCCTTGTCAAAGCTCCTCGTTGGTCGTCGAAGGGAGAGCCCCTTCTCCAAAGGGCTTTCCCTGTCAGTTGTGCGTAGAAGGCAGCACGGTAACTCGATGAGGATGGGATATTCAGTTGCACTAGGGTAGCAGTGCAGAAGAGGATAAGCAAAGGAAGTTGTTGCTTTAAATTTATGAGAAAAAACATTACCCTGGATAACACATCGTCTTAGAAGAAGATGGGGGAGAGTATGAAGTAGCCAGCATACGTTTTTTTGCAAGATTAAAAAGCATCATGAGTGCTTCTTTGCTGTTTAGGTTCAGAGAGCTATCTCATGCACATCATGACCCATTGCACTACCTTATCGTTACCCATAAAAATTCCAAAATGTCATTTGAAATGTTTCGTTTTCGTTTGTAGCATTCTTAATGTGTAACAATCTCTTGGAAGCCAAACGGGTAGAAAACATTTTGGTAGTGCGATGCATGAAGCACAAGGATAGACTAGGAAGTTGGTGGATTTGTCGCTGGAGGCCTTTATGAACAGGTTAGATGAGCAGTTTTCAGGAGTGAAAGGTGTAGAGGTAATTGGGTTTGCGGCAGATGGATGGCTATTCTCTTGACATCCCTTCCAATCCTGATTTACCTTGCTTTCTCATGGTAGCGCTCTGAAGTACATGCCTCATGCTGTTCTGAAGCTCTTGGAGAACATGCCCATGCCCTGGGAGCAAATCAGAGATGTTCCGGTGTTGTACCATATCACAGGCGCCATCTCTTTTGTGAATGAGATTCCCTGGGTCATAGAGCCGGTGTACATTGCTCAGTGGGGGTAAGTGCCTTCTTCCTTCGCCCTGGTGGGAACTCCTGGGCAAACACTCGTGCATCCACAGTAAAAGCGATGTTTAACGGTCTCTGGGTTTCTGCCAGGTCGATGTGGATTATGATGAGGCGAGAGAAGAGGGATAGGCGTCACTTCAAGAGGATGAGATTCCCCCCGTTTGACGATGAAGAACCCCCTCTGGATTATGCTGATAACATCCTGGA